GATTCCCCAAAAACTCAACTACTAACAGCCTGTCATTGACTGGAAGCCTTACCCATGACGCAATCAACGCATATTTTTACGTGTATTATGTATTATATACTATATTCTTACAATAAGGTAAGCTAGAGAAAAGAAAATGTCATTTAGAAGAATCACAAGAGCAGCACCTCTGTGGCTCAGTGGCTTAAGATTCCAACTTCAGCTCAGGTTGTGATCTCACAGCTCATGGGTTCAAGCCCCGCGTCGGGCTCTGTGCTGACAGCTCAGAGCCTGCAGCCTGCTTTGGGTTCTGTGTCTCCCTCTCTCTCTGCCCCTCCCCTGCTCGTTCTCCCTCTCTCTCTCTCTCTCTCTTTCTCTGTCTCTCTCTCTCTCAAAATTAAACCCTAAAAAATATTTAAAGAAAGAAAAGAAAAATCACAAGAAAGAAAAAATACATTTACAATACTGTATGGTATTTATCGGAAAGAAAAACCTCTGTATAAGCGGACCCATGCAATTCAAACCCATGTTGTTCAAGGGTTTTATATTCTTTCACCAATTAAGAAAAACTTCAGGCTTAAACAAACCGTAATCTTATAGAAAATCTGTCTTATTTAGTACCGTGGTCCTGGGCTTATTTCCCTTTCAAAGCAAACCTGGATTCTCAGTAACTGAGTTTCTCCCATGAGCCCTTTAACCCAAAAATCTGCTAATTTGACGGTCACTTAAAGCTTTTGGAAACAGTATGGCCAGCCCACTCTGACACACTGTGTTCAGTTGCCACTACCCCTGGGCTTTCAGAAATTCTGTGTGATCTTTTGTTGGGTCTTATTCTCTTCTTGGAAAGCCCAGCCGCCATTTTGCAAAAGCACACCCATCTCTCCTCATCTCCACACAGTGTAACTCGTGCAATGAGCTGATGGGCAGAGACCCCGGTTCCCATGCCCGCCAAGCAGAGCAGGACCAGAGAAGCTAAGCATTCGGGTGGTTTCTGTCCAGAGCCCTCTCTCTCCCTGTCACCACCTACTTTTGCATATTGTCACAAGAGAACTGTTGCCTTCATGCAGCTGCTCTCAGACCTTGCGGAACAAGCCCCCGATTGGAAGGGTCCCTTGGAGGAAGCTTTCTTTACATGCTGGAGGGTGGAGGGCAAGATCAGTGGGTCAAAGAGCAGAAAGGCTGATTTCACTCAAATTGAGGGGAAACCTTGGAGCCATCCAGGCTGCCCCGCAGAGGTCTGGACCACCCTACATGGGCGATGTTCCGTCCTAACGGGGATTTCTTCATCAAGCAAGTCACCACCCCAGGGTGGTCCAACTCTAGATTCTCATGACTGGCTACGTCAATGCTGGCTTTGTCTCTTTGACATGTCTTTGGTGTCCTGGGGCCCCCAAATGTTACATAACAGCTGTGCTAGGGACCGTGATCTTCCTGTGAGAATGGCCATCCTGCCTCTGGCGGAATTGAGTAGGCGCAAATGGGTCAGTCCTTTGTCTTCAGGGAGAAAACGTACCTAAACTAAGCGTCTTTTTTCTTTTCCAACAAATAGTTGAGCTGTTCTTGGAATTCATTTATCTCTGGAAAGGTTATAAGTTACTAGAACAGGGGGTTTAGCGGCTTATTTGTCTTTGAAATCCAGTTTTCGCTCATTTCCTGGTTTATTGTATCAACACCTGAATGCCTTTGTCCTTGGCACAACACATATGATAAGGTCCCTCAGTGTTTCCAGCGATAAAGTTCCTGGAGGGGGTCAGAGGAAAGCTCACCTTTTGATGACTCTCCCCGCAGATAGGTCTCTTTCTCCCTTTCCTGGCACTCCCTTATTTCACCCTCCTTCTCCCATTATCTGCCGGCTCCTTCTCCGCCCACTCATGTTCCCTCAACCGGGGACATGCAGAATTGAAAGTTCCATTTTAATTCTGCTTTTCTTCTTCCTGTGTACTGAATCGCCTCGTTCCCTGCCCTGACTTTTAAAATTAGACGAATCGAAGATGTTCTATGTTTTTCTCACAAAAGCCAACAATCTCCAAACAGAAGGAGTTTGCTATTTTACTTCACTCATTAGAAAAGGAAAGTGTTTTCCTTGCAGTCCAGGCAAAGGACATTCAATGCACTCCAGTCTCCCACCTTCACGCTCAGATTCCCCCACCCCAGAATAGCATGAGAGACACTAAAGAAAGCTTGTCAACCTGGCCACTAGGTGGAGACAGGAGTCAGCTGAGCACTTTACAGGTGCGTCTGGGCCACTGCCCTCACGCTAGTAAGGAAACCAAGAGAAGTGAGGCTTGTCCCCACCCTCGAGGAGCGACACTGCTGGCAGGAGCTCTCAGAACTGTCCCCCTCTGTCCCTTTTCCCCTTGCCTCTCTGCTCAGGGCTCTTGGAATGTTGTGACTGTTTCATTTCCTTGAGTACATGTCATCTGCTTATCCTCAAAGTCTTTAGCATTTGACACTTGCCTTTGAAAAGAATGGCCTTGGGGCACCTGGGTGGTTCAGTTGGTTAAGCATCCAACTTCTGCTTAGGTCATGATCTAGCGGTTGGTGGGTTCGAGCCCCGCATCGGGCTCTGTGCTGACAGCTCAGAACCTG